ATGGAAAGTGTCTTGGGATAACTTCTATTATTATTTTTTTATTATTGGCTTGACTTGCTATCTAAATGTTTCCTAAATTAGTTTAATCTGTGTTTAACTATATCTTGCATGCTGGGAAAGGCTCCAATGCCCTGAGACCTTGAACAGGATGAGCAAGTTTGGAAAATGAATGGATGGGTAATTTGCCCCTGCCGTAAGTTAAATGCATGAATCAACATTTACTGAAAAATAGATGGATATCATTTATATATCTCTCAGGCTATTAAGCTGTTAAGCTTTTATTGTGTGGCTTTTCTTCTGTCCTGAAGGGCAATTGTCCTTTTCAAATAATAGCCTGCAGTGAGACAATATGTACTTTGTCCTGTAAAAGTGGATTCAATTTCATCACAGTTTTGATCCATGCAGTGAGGCATGCATGTTTGTCATCCTATTCAGATTTTTTTTTTCTGTTGAGTTCAGCTGATTAAATGAGAGGGACTATTATGAAGCTAAAAGTGAATATTGTGCAGATCAGGTCAGTTAATTGCTGTTTATTAGGTAATATTATGACTAGTATACATCTTAGGTAATATTATGACTAGTATACATAATTTCACTCATACATTCAAGTAAATAATCATGAATTAATGTATGTTTTTATTACACAGAGAAAACGATTTGACCATGTTTTACCTCTAATTGACGCTCCAACATCCACCCAGCCACACTGATGTTGTGTGGATGTTGATGGTCGGGAGAGCGTGGATCGACAATAATGAATGGTTTTACGCCCGTAGAAGCCACTGTCTATGATTAACACATGACCAGGACCACACTGCAAAGTGAGGTTATGATCCGCACACACAATGGATCTCCCAGACTCTGGGGAGAATACAAAAACAAAGTGGTAACTCATCATGGAGTGATTCAGTGAGCTGTTCTGTTCAGAATCAGTACATGGGTCAGTACGTACCAAACTGGCAGATAAAATGCAGTTTTTTGTAGCAGTCTGTTGTGGCGTCCCATTGGAAGCCTGAGTCTTTTAAGACATGTCCACAAGCTGCTCCTGGCTGCAGGCTGCTCACCCAGTTTGAATAGGTGACATGTGAACCATCCAGCCAAGAGAGACCACCTGAGGATGGAACAAACTACTGCTGAAATGATGAAATGTTTGAGCTCTTTGTGGTAAGAAAGATTTCATACTTTTTCAGATGTTACATTTATCTGTAGTGAGTAAGATTCACAATGTTACAATGTCATTGTGTTCAAGGATAACACAAATATACCCTGATCCTAAAGGTCCACAGTAACGCTATTTCATTTTCTTTCACATATACTCAAAATTGGTAACTTATAAAATTAAATTGGATGCACTGTGCAAAATAATGAGGCTGGGTATGTTCTACACATTTCTTGAACAAATCTGATCAGTTAACTCAAAATATAGATAGATGAATTTATAATTGTAATAATATAAATGTTCCTTCACCATGGGACCTAATATGCCATTCTGCTGCTAAATAGAATCTGTATAAATTTAGATGTGGATGTGAATTAAGGTGAGGTTGCTACCAAATTCTTCTGGTATGAAGTACAGTTGAATAAGATCAATGAATACATCCATAATGCACCAACCCAATGATCTCTATCTCTAGAGAAAAGTTTAATATTATTCCAAACGGTATTTCAGTTAATGGAAGTATCAAAGGTAATACAATATATCCCTACTCCAAACTATACTGTGTCATCAATAATTTCTAGTTCATGTTCTTTAACTACCACACTTTGAGATTGGAGGAATATTCCATTTACTGTATAAGAGGGTGATTCTGTCTGATATTGGACATTGTAAATGTAAAAAAGATAGAGATACTTGGTAGAGACTTTTTTTTTCTTAATCTTGTAATTGCAAATTATATCATAGGGTGTGGGTGTGGGAATTCATTTCTCACTCCACTGATGGAAGGAAAAAGACTTTACACCATTTAAAACCCTGTAATGGAATGGATGGATGGAATAATGAACAGAGGACAGTGAGAAAATATCCCACTAGGGCTATCTTATTTTTCAAGACATGGAACAACTTTGAAAATAAATTGTAAATAAAATTGAAATTGGACACAATTGTACAGATGTTACCATAATGTAATATTTTTATTTAATAATTTTGTTAATCACTAATGCTTAACTATATTCTTCTCAATCGTTTGACAGGTTAATTCAAATGCATAAGGGAGGTAAAATTAAAGACAAAAAACAAAAAGTTCTCATATTTTTTGTGATTTCCTGTCTTTTTGTGAAGTGTGTGATTTAATCAGAGACTTCATGCACCTTCAGACATAGCAGTTTATGATTGAGCACACAGTAGCAGTTGTCTGTATTTCACAGTTCTCCCTTCTTACCGTCCACAGTTGCAGAATATGACGGTTTTGGAGAGGAAGGAGGTGCTAACCCAAGCCATGTGTCTTTCTCAGGGTCCAGATGTCTCTGAAGGAAATGTTGAGTGTCTTCATCTGGGATAAATGCAAGGTGTCCTCCACTCTCCTCACACCAAGCTTGAGCACTGAAAAAAGAATGCCGATGACCCACGAACTCATAGCAGGAGCCTCCAAAGGCCTTTTGATCTCCTGGGCAGGAAGCAGTACCCTCCGTCTTATCTTCAGCACATGATGGACAGCTGAGTGTCACCAGGATCAGCAGCTGCAGAAATGTCCAGCACATCTTTTCTGTTTTCACTTTAAAAACAAAATGTTACTCTCATGTCTCTTTTCAATTTCTTGATGCTTTCAAAATAATATTGTTTTGCCCTCTCGTCTAATGCTCTCACATACACACCCTGGTGACACCCTGTTTTTAAATGGGTCTGACTGCCTTTGTCACACACCTTTCTGCATTCAGTGGAACACTGTTTACTTAACAGCCAGGCTTTCCGGAAAACCAATGAATGCACTGCCTTTGTGCCGGAGCTGCAACAAAAGCAAGAGGAGTTTCAAACAGATGGCAAGGTACATGAGGTTACCAATTCTTTACATCATGACAAATAGTCTACCTGTACTTTTCTTTTTGTTGTGAAAAATTGCTGGGTCACACTATGCCAAATGATGACTCATCAACGAAGGAAAAAGGATCCCAAGGTCACTCTTTTATCAGATAAAACATAAAAGTTGCATTTTATTTAACCACAGGTACAAAGAGGATTTCAAATACACGTTGAAATGCAACACATAAAAAAAAAGGTTCTCAGTGAAATTAAAATAATACAATAGATAGCAGTAGATATAGTGGTTCCAAATTACACAGATGTCAAGTTTTAAAGTGGCTATAATCAATATATTTAACAGACGAATCATGACTATGTGTATGTCCAAGGGGTTGTTCGCAAAGATCATCCCACAAAAAATTATTATCAAACTGTGCAGTTCTCCTCAACTCTATGGAGCATTTTAAACATCTTCCAGCTCATTGTTTATCCAGCTGCAGCTTGACTTCTTCTTCATCCATTTTCATGATTTTCTTCTCGAGACACAACAGGAACTTAATTCAATCAAAATTCATCAGGTGGCCTGAAACATGACGCCACATACATATTTTTCTCAATATCTGATGGATGTGGAAATAGGGAATTTTTTGCTAATCATTTATGACTGTGTAATATATGACAGTCCTAGACATCCCACCCAGCATGACTTTATAGTTAACAGTCCTAAAAAAAAAGTTCCCATAATCAGGGTTAATATATTGATAATTTTGTTTCATTAAAAGTGCTGTGATGGAAATCTGAAAATAAACAGTTGACAAAAGGATCAAGTTGTCTTTGTATATTTTAATAAGAGGTTTGCAAAGGATCAGTGTACAGTCACACAGCGTGCAATTGCAGATTGATATCAATCAAAGAGTGTACATGAACTTTATAGAAACAAAGAAAGAAGGAGGCATGGTCAGGATGTGTGTGTGTGAACAATTCTGGGTTCCATCCTGACTGTCTAACTGCTGGAAGAAGCAGGTGTGTGTTCAAAGATAAACTACTCCTTAGTTTGTACCGTACAGTACCAGATAAGGAGCATACATGTGGGAACAGATTCACATTCATGGATATACAAAGCCAGGTCACACAAAGTTCAAACCGGGTTATACAAAGTGCAGAATATGATTTTTCTATTACAGTGCATAAATACATGAAAGAACCAAAAAACAAGCAAAATGAAAAGAATTATTTCTAATATGATATGTCAGCCTCTGAGAGTTTTTTCCTCCAAACAGCAAAAAACTCCTTCAACATACAAGTATTTTTCTACATCTGTGCTGTTACATTGCACTTGGCTAAATGTACAGCATACTGTAGATGACTCACATCTCAGTCACACCACACAACGCTCAGTTTGAAATTTCACCCTGCGTACTGCACAAAGGGCCTTTGCCAAATAAAGAAAATCCTCTATCCTCTATCTGCTATCTGTGACGCAGGGTTTTCCTGACGTGCTGTGTAAGACAAGTTAAAGAGAATTATTTCCTTAAAAATATTTCCAGCAGTTTCTCCAGTGTAAAACTTATTTGGATCAATTGGTGCACTAAAAGCAGTGATGCACTGGTTTGACTGCCATTGATTGCACAGCATGTCTGAATTCAACCAAATGGCCAAGAATCCCTTGCTAATGGCTCCAGTCTTCAGCCATTTTTACAATGCTGTTGATGCTTTTCGATCCAAGAGGCACAATGGAAAAAAGAGAAGTAAAAATAAGAGCTCTTATATAAGAAAATAAGAAGTTACTTTTAGAAGTAGAGTTTACTTGGACATAGATTTGGGTATGGACATGTCCCTACTGTGTTAAGGTGTTCCTGTATTGTCTCTACCAATAAGTTTACCCATGTCAAACAATCTTTGCATTTTACCGGTAATATTGGCCAGATATGCATTTATTCTGCAAAATGTTGGTTATTATGATAAAGAATGAAAGATTGACACGTGAGACACTCAATTATGATCTGTCAAACCTCAACTTCAAATTGTGTTACACATTGTTAACCAGCTGCAGCTGGGCAGTAGCAGAAGGTGTGAATCACGTTGCCAATGTCACAGAACTGACAAATAACACTCAAAGCTTATTGCTCTAAATCCCACATGTAACATCATTGTGTGTAATGTCATTTATTATTTATACTACATTTTTTGTCACAGGGAAGTTGTCATGTTTATATGATGAGTTAATCTATTATTAATCTGAGCTGGTTTAGTAAAGTGCATGAAGAGCTACCATACACAGAGACAACGATAACAAGAGGAGCAGAGGAAGTGTATGCCCTGAAGTGCATTTTGTTTCACTATGTGGATTTTTGGCAGGACTGGAGCAAGGACTTATTGAGTGAGTAATCATAGTTGACAGACAGTTTCAATTAGGAGGGCGTTTACAGCCTGCCGTGATGCCAGGTCAGTGCATTTGTCATCAGTCAGTCATAGCAATAAAGCTCTTTCAGTTTTGGTTTAGTTATTTCATTACAAAAGAAATTAGCTGTTTTGTGTGCACACATCTGACAGTAAAAGGCAAATAAAACATCCACCTGTTACAGTGAAGATATGTAAAACAAACCATCCTTCTTTGCAATATGCAAAGCATTTCATGCAGTTATGCAGGCAAACAGGCTGGCAAACTGGTTGAATCAGGCAGACCTGTTAGTATGCTACAGTAATTACCTATGAGCAGGCTGTTGCAAGAGCACAGTCCATAGGCAGTGGTTTTGGTCTAAACGAAACTGGATTTTACTTAAGTGCGTTCATTCGGCGATGTTGGAAGGACTGGCTTTAATTAGTTTAAGGTAAGAGTTTTTTTTTTTTTGTCATTTGTTACTGTGGAGATTAGACCTAAAACAAAGTCAGTATGTCACAACGAATAGGAAGAGCACTAAGCAAAATTACCTGGAAAATGAGAAAAAGAAATAAGCAAATTCATTTATTGCAGTTAAACTTCAGATGTTTATAAATAATGTATCTGTGTGATATGCTAATTGAAGAGTAGAGTCAGGAGAAAAGTCTGCTAGTGTTGCGTTATTCATCATCATCACACACCCCCATAGTTTTATGTTTATCATATCTTCATATCATAAGCTGATATGGGATTTTAAACAAAAAAAAAAGAAGCAGCATCGACAACATCAATCATCATCTATGGTGCTACATTTGTCTTGCCTCTCTCACTCACTCTCTGACACGTCACACATATTCACTAACGTCGCACCACTGAACATGCAGCATTGTAATTTGTGTTAAGGAAACTTTTTTTTTCTTCATTGGTTTAAAGTCGCACGTCACCCCGACATCTAGCTGCCTCTGAATCATGAAAAAAACGACGCGCACCCTGCGGAGGATCGTGTGTGTGCTGCTGGCCTTTGGTTTCATCTGGTGTCTGAGTTTGCCATATTTCATCCTGGTCTGTATCTTCATTCATCCGTTCACCTCATGTGGTCTCAAAGCCAACATACAGCGTATTAAAGCACTTACGTGATCCTGAGCTACTCTTAAGTGGTGCGACGGATGAATAACCCTCTTCTTAACTCTTTGTAATGTACAGCCTCTGAAACTCACTGATATAATGGATAACATTGAGAAACCAAGCCGTTGCTCGTTTGCATTGATTCCTTATGTCTTAAATATCTGCTTACATTCATAATGCTCAAACATCCTTTTTGTTACCAGCTGTTTGTTTATGTGTTATGTTGTGTCTTGTCCATCTAATGTTGTTGTAGAGCAATGCTGAACAGGAGGACACAGATGTGACCGGTAACGACAGACTGAGTAGGCCTGATAAAGGTTGGAAAGAAAAGAAAGAAGGTAAGGCTAAAGGTGAGAAAAGAGCACAGAGATAACAAGAGGAGTCAGATGGGAGAAAAAAAAAGAAAAAAAAGAGGGGTCATGATGATGAAACAGAAGGAGTCAGTAGAAATATATATTGTGTCTCAACAGTGACTGCAGTTGTTGCCTGGGTATCTGCCAAGTGCTTTGTTCACTTGACGCAACATGGAAATTATGCCACTGAAGGCGTGACCTCCTTCGTCAATTGCCATTTTCACAAGTTTGAAAATACTAGAGATGGGTGATCGAGAGAGCCGGCTCCCGATTTTTTTTAATTGTCTTTTAAAGCCGCATTGGTCAACATGTGTGGCTGTGGCAGCGTCTGTGTGACTACACTGAGCAGGAGGGGGGAGGGGAGGGGTTACAGACACTCGCATTTTGTGTTTTGTTTTTCACTGTACATGGTTGCACATTTAAATTTATATTTTGTTGAGTTATGTTTAGTTGATTTTGTGTTTTATCAAATTAAAATGGGTCTTTTTTATTTAAAATTTATGTATGTATATGTTAAGTTATGTTAACTTTATTAATAAAGCCATATACATACTATACATATGTTATATTTTATGTTTTTTTACATTAGTTATTCATTTTACACATAATTTGGTAATAAATTAATTTAAGTAACAAAAAATCTGAGGAGCCACTTGGGAGCCGAAAGAGCCGGCTCTTTTTAGTGAGCCGAGCCAAAAGAGCCGGCTCTCCACAAAGAGCCGGAATTCCCATCACTAGAAAATACACTGGTGATCCCAGATCAGGTAGCCACAATCCCTCCCCTTCTGCTACGTAGCCAAGATGGCGACCGCTCAGGGTGAGAAGTGTCCACCGTTTTACACTCAACTTTTTGACCATTTTGAGTGCACCATGTGGGTACACTGCATGTTACCGTACTTATCAATGTGAACGCATTTATTCACTCAAAGCAGCAAGTTTGAATATGGAAGTATGTGATTTGAGACACAGCAATCGAGCAATCAAACCATACTAGACCGCCATCTCAAATATACACAGTGAAGCTAATGTGCTGCATGTTATTCATCCTGTGCAGTTCTTGATCCCCTACTTAGATAAGTTAGAGCCATTCACTGCTCATTTGAATGGAGAATGATTAAGCTCCAGGTAAACAGGTTGCGCTAAAAACATCTGAGTCAGTCACAGGAAATCCCAAAAAGACCCTATTCTTTTGAGAGGATAGCAGATGATAGAGGTTAATAGTGGGTAAAAATGCTGTGATTTTAGTTTGGTGACATGGTGGTAACATCTGGTATCATTCTGTTTTGTGTAAAATCATCTTCTCAACCATGTCAGAAGAATCTATTTTGTTTTTTTTTAAGGGATATCTTCTCAGTAGACTTTACAACCTCTGCTTTTTTTTCTCTTAATTCTCCCCAACTTTCCTGCTCAACTTTCTCGTCTCTCTCCTTGAACTCCGCTTCACACCTCTCCACTCCCCTCTCTTAGACATAATGAAAAGTATTGTCAAGGTTGTGGATGATCTCCTGAACATCGTGGAAGCCGCTGATGATTGTGAGCAAACTCTCTCCAGCAATTTTTTTTTAAGACATAGTTAATATCATGCATTTTCAGTGAAGTAGCACTATTGCTTATTTTAATAGGAATGTTCCCAGGTAATATTTATCAACTGAATATTCCATGAATAATTATTGTACAATGGCTGATTGCCTCAACGCTCCTCTAAAAATACAGTATGTTCAAAGCAGAGGAATAATTTGTCAACACTCCAAACTCTCTCTGTCTCAGTCGCTCCCCCTCTGCCTTTGAGGGACCACAAGGCAGAATTAAAGACACTCCAGATTGAAATGGAGACAGAGACAGAAAAAGGGAAAATGAGGAATGAGATGATCAAGGAGCTGCGTTCTGATAAAGTCCATCTGCAACAACAAGTGGCTTATTTGGAGGAACTCCTAAAGCTGCAGGCAGAGAACAGAGAGAAAACCATCCAGCAAGCAAAATCTGGTAAAATCTCTCACGATAAAATTAAGAGCGGGATACTAACTGTATTCACTTGGTGTCTTCTTTTAACAGCGAAAAACTCTACCGGAACAAGCAGATAGAGAGTAATGCAATTACATTTTATCAGCACACAAGTGATGAATTCAGAGGGGCCAAGAGGCATGAGTTGATATGAAAAATGTATAGAACAGAAAGTACTTTACTGACTAAAACTTTTACTTACTACACAGAGACACAAAATGACCAAAAAGATTACACAAAACAACTGAAAAACTACACAAAACTACTTATGACTAATACTAATGACTTCCCTATTGCATCTGTGGCACATCAAGGCAAGCTATATATCTCATTCTACTAAGTATATCTTAAAAAAAAAAAAAAACTTGTGAAAAATGTATCATTTGAGTTTTAAAAAAGTAGTTTCTCAAAGTAATGCTATTACCAAGAGAGTGGTAAATGATGCATTTGTCGGGTACTATTTTCAGCTGTGGATTAACATTTCATGTTGTAGTGAGTTTACAGTAAAAAGAAAGTGAGACAAAACAAACTACAGTGCCCATGTCATGTCATCCAGTGCCTGCTACAATAAGCATTGACAACAGCAGCAAGCGGTATACTTTAATAATATAAACCTGTAGTTTGTTAGACTGTAGGTTCCAGAACATGGTGATAGCAGTTCAAAAAAAATTTAATAAAAATTTGTATTCCACCACGCTGCACAGATGCTATGATTTCCAGTGCAATCTAGTAAACACTCAGTTGTTCTACACTAAGAATGGATCATTTGGACTTCAGCCAGCTCACACAGCAACAACAGTTTCTTATACAGACACAGAAACAGATTGCATCACAGCTTAGCTGCTGACTTACTGGAAGAAACTGCTCAATTTTCAACCAGTGTGCCTTCAGGGGATTTTAAAGAATTCCTTAGGACACAACCATGTAGAGAACTAGTTGAGAACTAGAAAAACACACTCCCTTAAACAGGTGGTGAAACACAAGTTGTCTCTCTCAACATGCCTTCAATGTTAGTCAAGACTAATGAACTAATGCGTTTATTATTACATTTACATCAGTGACATTAATTCACACTTCAGTCATATTATATGCAGAAAGAAATTTTAGAATATCCTTCAACTAATTTGATTCAGGATGAAATGACTAACTGAATAACATACATACAGGTGTGTTCAGGTGTCTGTCTGCAGGGAAGTGATCTTCTTCCATTCATGCAAGGTGTTGTTTGTGTGTTGCTTAGAAGATCAAATCAAAGAGGATGAAAATTGCCCACTGCCCCTCATGGATGGATACCCAGACTGTAAGGGGAAATTGAAGGTAATAGTTTTTCTTTACCATTTTGTAATGGCCACTGTATCATTGGAATCTCAGTGGTATATTCCTATGAATAGCATTATTTATACTGTCAACGTACTTCGAAACAACTTGAGTTTCTCATGATATTTTGAATGCAATGAAATTCAATGAGGTAAAAAATGTAAAGAGGTACAGCCCTTTCTTGCTCTCCAATAACTTGTTTCTTTTTGTCCATCTCAAGTATTGCATAGATCATCATTATATACTTTTTTCTTTGTTCTCTTTCTGGTTCGCTGTTGCCCCAGTGGATGAAGGAGATGTGGAAGACTGATCCTTGTTATAGCCGTTATGGGGTGAATGGGTCTCTGTGCTCCATCCTCATCTACCTCAGTGAGGTACCCAAGTGGCTTCAAACTCAAATATCACTTGCTCAGTAATACTGCCCTGTGAAGACCTCATTTCAGTCAATAACTTAATATTGGAAAAGCACTAAGATGAAGAAGTTTGTGTGTTTGTGTCATTGTACCTGCCCTTTCTTCCTATCTGTGTTGTTTTAAGATAGAGTCCTGGTGCCCTGTGCTTCCAGGCCGAGCAGCCCCCTCACCTCAAGCAGAAAACTCTGAGGTACAGACAAGGCCAAAGAATCTGAGACCGCATTTAATTTGTGCGTAGGCTATGTGTTTTTATTTTCTGTATAACCTCTGCAGCAGTGGCGGCTGCTGGTCTTATAAGGAGGGGAAGCTCATTTTCGGCCTACATCATAAAATGTGTCCGTTTATTTATATGTAAATTCGCAGAGTGACAGAAGAGAGTCGCCAAACACAACGCTAGTCGTTTTAAACAAAGACAAAGTCGCTGAGGACCAGTAACGTCTCCAGATCAACTCCGACAACGGAATGAAAAACTTTAAAAATGCTCCGGTGGATGCTTATACTTCAAGATCGCTGATTCGCTCATTTCGCTGTCAATCAAAAAGGGACTCAGCCTCAGACAGATCATCCAATCATCATGCAGAAGCCGAGCGTCCGGGCCAGCACATTGCCCCAAAGACCCCCAGAGACGCTGAGCGTCCGATGGGCGGGACAAAGCCCAGCATTTATCCAATGACTGTCTAGTTTCGCTGCAGTGGAACAACCCACTCTATGCTTCCCCATTGAAGTCAGTAGACCTCGACGTCTACACTGTGTAAAGCACTGTGGCGCTGCGGGGATGAATGAGAAGGAAGTCGTGTCGGTTGCCTGTGATAAGTAGCTGATTCTGAACAAAAGATGAACGTGTTCTAGCGCATATTTAGTCAATGAAATGTACACACAACAGTACATATTTTGCCACTTATTTTGTTGACATTTTAGGGGAAGCTGAGCTTCCCTTGCAGTCTTAGAGCAATCGCCACTGCTCTGCAGAATCGCTTTACCAGAGTTTTTTTTTCTGTTTATACCTGTAAAACTCACACATTTTTTTTGTCCCCTTGAACTTATTTTCTACATTAGTTAACTCAATAAATGTGTAAAATGCCAGTACTTTATCGTAAATGGTACTGTAAAAAAAAAAAAAAAAAAAAAAAAAAATATATATATTATATATATATATTTTTTTATTGCATGTTGAATGCCAAACAGACTGGCAATGATTTGTGGTCCTGTTCAGCTCATTTGAAAAGTGCTGATAATTCATTTCACTGTACTAAAAGGGTAAGAAGTTACAGCGTTTGGAAGGGATTTGGAAGTGCAAAACAAATCAACAAAACAGTAATCTTTATTATCTTCATTTTTTAGGCGGGTTCTGACCAAGCAGTGATACGGGACAGTTTAGATGACCTGTATCCATCTCTGGAAAACAGAGTCCAGTTCCGCTGGATTCATCAAAGAATTCAAAGTATGGGAGAGGTTTGGGTCAAGGCTGGACGCTCTCTCTCAGCCAAATACAACCTCACAGATCGGAAAGCCAAACACGTAATGTATCCCTCCCCATTGTTCTCACCCTCCTTAATCACTGTTGCTACACTTGTAAAATTTTCCATCCTTGCACACAGAAGGAAAAAAAAGCACACTTCTCATTTCTAGCCAACAACTGTTGATTTTATTAGCTGGAATGACAGCTGTTGCTAGCAGATTTAGTCAGCTAGCTAGTCTGTGCTAATGCTAATGCTAAAACTTTATTTGAAAGCTCTGCCTGCAGTTTAGTGTCTTTAATATGCACATAATGGCTCTGAATCACTTTGAGCTAAAGGTGGCCTACTTGTCCCATGCAAAAAGTCAGCATTCTCAGTATTTTTTCTAATACAATCTGTAAACCATATTATTATGTAGTAAAGTTAAATACATAATTAGGTGCCCTTGGCCTTCGTAAATAATGCAAGCCAGTATGCCTGGCTAAATTGCTATTGGTACATAGTAGGCAGTTAGCCAGGCAGGATAACATTTGCGGCTTACACATGAGCAGATAAAAATGCAGTTTAAACCATTTGTTAGAGCCTTGCTGCTGTGATTTTGCTCATGATTGGCAATATAAAAAAGACATTACACTCAAAACTCCTTATATTTATTTTTTTAAATAAAAAATTATTGTCTGAATTCTGACAAAGGAGACAGAACATTCAAGATTTCCCCTTGTCCCCCCCCCCCAGATCTTGGTGCATCCCGGTGCGGTGACAGATGAGTCAGGTTTTAGAATAGCAGAGGCTGCCTTCAGTGGTGGCCCTCTTGGAGAACTAGTCCAGTGGAGTGACCTCATCTCCACACTTCAAATCTTAGGTCACCATCTTCACCTTTCTGCCTCCATACCTGATCTCAAGAGGTGAGTACCTGTGCACACAACAAGAGCCTTTTGTTGCAGACTGGTGTATGAAAATGATTTGCCACTTTTAACTGGTGATTTTAGCTGAAAAATCAGCAACATATACAGTAAATCATAGACCCATGCTCTTTTTACACATGGACAATTTTGAAGCTATAATCATGTTAATTAATGTGTTCACCTATTTACATAAGTACATTGTTTCTGTTTATGTGTATCCATTCTTGTGGTTGTCTTTCTGTCTCTCTAGTTTGCTAGGGATTAAGACAAGCGGTTGCCCACCTCATTCAAAAGTGGAAGTAAACCTGATCTATACAGACATTGTTGGCCTTAAACAGTTTCAGAATGTACTCAAGACATCCTGGATCAAATACAAGTGAGTATCAGGATCCTGGTCCAGACAATATTTTAATGTATATGAAACATACAGCATTAATAATAGATTTTGATGACTCAAGAGGAGATGACAAAAAAGGAAACATTACATGATTAAACTCTCCTTTACTGCTGCAATTCATTAAGGTCCCATTTGAAAAAGATGATGCCGCTCTATGGCAACGTGTTTTTGGACCAGAGTGTTTTAGTGATTTGCATAATCATGGTGCTTTCATTTGAGTATCTATTAATTTTGAAATACCATTATTAAGAGAATGCAGAGATGTGTAATTTGCAGTCTAAATCCATTCCTGGGGTACAATATGTTGCAAATGGCACATCTATGTGATGGGACAGAATGGTGTTGACATGTCAAAAAAAAAGAAGCAATGAACAAACAATATTGCCCCCTTTTGGTCATTTTATGGACTTCTGAACACAATTCAAGACCAAGAGAGAATTCATCATAGAAAATTAAACATGAGTTCAGGAGAGGAATATAAAGTTGTCCCCATGTGTTTCAGTAGAGAGGGGTTCAAAGGAGAAGGTCAGGAGGCACAGAGCCAGTGTTGAGGAGTAACTATTTACATACAACAGGATTACATAATGAAATTACATAATGAAATTACAAAATAAACGGAATCTCTGACAGTTACTGAAAAAAAATTGGGGTGAGGTCTAATAACACTCACTAACATTAACATTAAACATTAACTTGGAGAGGTCATTAGGTTATGAAATTTCTGCAGGGCACCAACAGACAGAAAAGTAATCAAGAAGTAATGCAATGAAATATGTTGCATCACTTTGATGAAGTAATTACATTACAAACAGTTACATTATTACATTTTTTGCAGGGTAGTAATCTGTAACCTATTACATTTCAAAAGTAACCTTCCCAACACCAGTACTTTCACAGGTACTTTGGTGGACCCACCCACAAGAGGTTAAATACCTGGGTCCTACTCCACTTTCTTGGTCAGACTAGTGCAGGCTAGAGAGACCAATACATAAGAACTGATGAAGCCACTTGGATAAGAGGCGAAACGTCTTCCACAGACAAATACAAGTCTAGTTGCCTTCGATTTAATTTGAGAGAGAGATAACAATGACCTGGATGAATGAGAACATTCACAGACAACTTCCCAACACTACACAGAGCACACGGAAAGTGTTGCAGTTCAGGTAAGATTTTCAGGTAACATGGTGGTTTGATGGGTCTGAATGAAAACCTGCTGGGTGAAATTACTCTATGTTTCCTTAACAAGTCGGCTGGAGATAGTTGCAGAGATGAAAACAGGTGTCAAAGACAACAAAAGGGAGAGGAAATGGGAGGTAAGAATAGACTGAAAGAAGGAAAGGGTCAGAGGGCAGGTTCATATTTAAGGAAAAAGGAATACAGAAAGGACAGAGGTAATGAGGAAGGACTCTGAACATTTTAAATGAAATAGTTTAGTTTCGATATATTGCATCTAACAATTTAAAATGACAAAATCCATGTGTGCTGTACATCACATTATAAAGACTAACAGAAAGTACATTGTAGATTCCTATATGTTGTTCTGCTAATTTTACTCAACCTTCAATCAAATGATGTAATGTATCACAAAAATGTAATCTTAAATCTCATGTATGAATATTTATGTAAAATGAATGGAAATCTGTGTGGGTGAGGAACAGCACGCAGTTGCACCCTTATATATACCCTCATCTTTGATGTGGGAATGTATGCCTTTCTAGTGCGAATGTCTTTTTTCTTTTTTTACCTTTGAGAACATGTGCAGTGAGGGGAACTGAAGGCATACTCCAGCATATTGATATTGATGCAAATATTGACCTGAACTTGTTTATTAGCTCTTCACCTGTACATTTAGCTGCATTTTGACTGCAATTAAAGTGAATAGATAATTGCTACGGTCTGTAAGGAACTGTTTTTTTTTTTCATGGTAGTTTCAGTCAAGGTAAACGAATAGGTAAAGTCCATAAAGATGTTTTCTGAGTTTAGTGTGGTGGAGTCCAGCTGCTCTGACCACAACCCCATCCCACTTCTTTGGGATGAATCAGACCCCTGACTATAAGCCAAACCTTATGACCCAACATCAGTGCCAAACTTCACTGATGCTCTTATGGGTAGGTGCAAATCCCTGCAGTCTTATTGTAAAAGCTTGTTTAAAGCCTTCACATGTGTGGAGGTTGTTAAAGCAGCAGATTAATGCCCATGGATTTGTAATAATATGTCCAACAATTACAGGATGTAATGTTCCGGTATCCACATACTTGGATTGGGTGTCCATGTGCACATTCTTCCCACATTCTTCTATTCGGGTTTTGAGCTTGGTTTTGAAATTGCTGTCAGTATCTGTTTTTATGTGTGATGTGCGTGTATGTGTTTGTATCTATCAATCAGATGTATGATTCGTGTGTTGGATACTTTTGGCACTGAGCCAGACTTCAATCATGCAGTTTGGGCTCAAAAACACAACCTTGGGAGTCCATTTGGTGGCCTCAATCTGATCCCAGCGCAGTTCTACACCATGTTCCGTATGTGTCCATCTCTTGCTCTGTATTTTACAACAGCTAATTTTGTGGTTTATATACTGTATGCTGCTTGAACTTAAATTTTGTATTATTATTAGTATTAGTATTATTAGTATTATTGTCATGCATCTCTCTTAGATGTGTCTTCTCTTATTGTGAGCAGCACATACACCAGACAACACTTTCCTGGGCTTTGTGGTGCCACACCAGCTGAACGCTAAAGAAAGTGAGCAGACCAGGAGACAAAACCAGGCTCTCGTGTATGGCAAGCGCGCCGAGTTTTGGGAGGTAACAATAATCAGACATTGTAATAGCCCAAAAAGTCAGTTTACTATACTTCTTGGAAGTATGCTATGAAAGACTTATTTCTTCAGGCACCAATATTGATTCAAGAAAATGCAGAGGACGCGTACAGGCTTTAGTTAGCAGAGGATATAGAGAAAAAGTTATCATGTTTACTGCAGGAAATTGTAAAGTGGCCAAGTATAAAACCTTGTGTAGTGTGTGGGTGTTTTCACTAATTGTTTACTAGTAGGTATTTCATTCAGACTCCCCCATGAAATACACACTTGACAAGGGAAAGGTGTAATTTGTGGCTTGTCCATTGATTTTCCAACAATTCATCCGTTGCTTCTTCTGCTGTTAACTCGCAGGGTAAAGAGTCTTATCTGGACATTATCCACAAGTACCTGGACGTCCATGGGACGGTTGACGTCAGTTCTCGCATTCCAAACTATGTGAAAAACCATGGCATTATCAGAGGGACTGAGGTGCAGGCCCTGTTGAGACAGAGCAAGGTAAGTGTGAGGTGAAAGGGAATCAATCAATCATTCACATAAATACTCATGTTTTGCATATCTCTTATATTTACCCTGGTGTTTTGTTGACTTTGGCTTCATTTCCTTATCGTAAAGCCCAGTGCTGCATGTGTAAAATGAATGATAATAATTACAAAACAAATCATTTTTTCTTTTTAATATTTCTTTTCTTCTGACCTCATTAAAATCCAATGTGTAGAAAAACACTGAAGTGGTAACTTTTCTCTTTGCCACAAACTAGACTTAAAAAAGCAACACTGATAAGAGAACGTCTTCGTCCAACTGTGTAAACATATTGTACCTAAAGTACACAGAGTGACATCTGCTACTAAAAGAAAGTCTTTTCTTTCCTCAAGGATATGACAGTAGGTTGTATACTTGCTTTTGACAGCATCTGGACTGCTACCTAGTAAAAAAAGGATCTGCTGAAGCCTCAGATAGTTCAGAGTTGAGCGGTACATCTGGTCCTGAACTTTTCATTCAGATAGGGAATTTGTGCCTGTGTGTTCTGTCTGAAGGTGGTAGTGAAGAGGCCGTATAGCCTTTTATCATTCTTCTGGAGCCTTCTTGTCCTGTCACAAGGATAATAACCTTTACCAAGGACTGTAAACAAAACTAGACAAGTGACAATTGATGGGGCAGCTCTCTCCCACAACACAGAACTAACACTTAATGGTAACTGTTGTGTACAAGGAATTCCTTCATGAAATAGTTTGAGCTCTGTGAGCGGTAGAGCACAGTCTGTTGAAGGACTTTTTTCTCTTCTTGCCATTGAGGAAAGTTCTTGACAGCTCTGGTTGTATGTTTGCGGTCTTTCAATCGGATGGCACTGCATGAAGATTAAGAATCTAAGCAACTAAAGTGCCTGAAACTAATGCATGTATGTGTATGAGTGTGTTATATGACTTACACTTTTGTTTAATTTACAATTCATAGATTAACATTTTTTCCCCAAGGACCACGAGAAGAGTAGGAGTTGCATTGGTTATAAATAATTGGGATCCAAATAAAATCATTAATTTACAATAAACAAAACACCCAAACATACTTACTTGGAGTTTGGGGGAGGTGGTAGTGCTCAAAAACTTCTGTCAACAACAATCACATACTGTATATAGATCATATTAAAATCCATTGTATTTAACCACGTTTTAGTGCTGGTTTCTCAGAGATGTCTCATGTATCAAAATCACATTTATGAAACATTTCCATAAAATTAGGGAAAAGTTAAAGTATCAAGTTGATTAAACAATGTCATGTATTTGTTTTGAGCTGTTAAATAGAAACCAGGGTCTCCAGCAGCCCAACCTTCACACAGATTCTTTATGTGCGTCAAACACTGTGTACAGCAAAGAGCATCGCATTTAACTTTTTATGTCAACATTAGTCAATAACAAAATTATGGAGGTATTGTGCATCGTTTAAGAAATGAAAACCCACCAAGTCCTCCCTGCGTGTGCTCTAAAAGCAGTGACATTAGGAATAGAGCTGAGTGTTAAGTCATCGTTTAATGTATTGGTGTTGGCTGGCACCGTGTGGTGACAGTAAAGAAGTGCATGAGTTTATCACATATATCATATTACCTATGTATACATATATATTAATATATCATGTGGTTGTCCTGTGTTAGAAGATTTTAAACTGTGTTTTTATCTGTGGTCTGTTGCAGGTTTTTGTGGGGTTGTCGTTCCCATATGAAGGCCCCGCCCCTCTGGAGGCCATAGCCAATGGCTGTGCTTTCCTGAACCCAAGGTTATTCCCCCCGCAGAGCAGCTTGAACTCACAGTTCTTCAAAGGAAAGCCCAACATCAGAGAGGTCAGGGATTATGCTCAAAACTGAGACACTTGCTATGACATAATATCTGAATATATTACATAGTTTAACCTCTGTTGAACCAAACACACTGTACAGAAATCATTTTTAACCTCTATCAAATAACAATGAATCAAATGATGAGCCATTGGTTCAAACAGAAAAATGTATGTATTTTGGAAGATAGGCATAAATGGTTACTATCCAGGTTCTTAACTGGTGATCTGTTTGTGTTGTAGGTGACATCGCAGCATCCTTATGCTGAGGCCATAGGAGAACCCTATGTATGGACGATAGATATGTACAACAAAACAGAAGTGGAGAAAGCTCTCACTGCTATACTCAATCAAAGTGTAAGTGCCTTTTAAATTTGGTGTCAGATCTTCTTATTTCCCACAGTGGAAAAACAGAAGCGGCTCGGCTGCATCGTACCTCGCAATATTTCACGATATCACATTCTACCACTCTGCAGTTTTGCCTTTCCTAGTCTATTTGCATTTCAATAATTCTTTTTGTTTATACATTTCAGATTGAGCCCTACCTTCCCTATGAGTTTACCTGTGAAGGAATGCTCCAGAGGGTCAATGTCCTGATTGAAAAACAGGTTGGAGGAGTATGGGTGGGGTTGAGGGTGTGGGAAAACAATAGTGAGATGAGATTTCTTCTTTTCTCTTAACTTCTCATTTTCGCTTTAGGACCTCTGCTCGAGCACAGCGAGCTGGCCCCCACTGAGTGCGCTCCAGGTTGTGCAGGCAGAGGCAGGCACTTCCTGTAAACAGGCATGCCAGAAGATGGGGCTGATCTGTGAACCTGCCTTCTTCCCACATCTCAACAGCACCAAGAATCTTGCCAAGTAAGCGCACACATGTTACTGTGCACACACATGAATCCAATCACATATCTGCAATCATCCATCACTATTTGAATTAAAGGTTTGTTTGACTTTATGGCTTAATGCAAAGCTGCTGATGATTTCTTCATGTTTTTCCAGCTACAGTGTAGACTGTCAAACATCAGAGGTTTCTGACAGTGATCTGGTTCTCCCAGCCCTCAACAACACTAGTAAACACTGTCTGCTCCAGTCTGATCCCCTGCTCTTCAGCTGTGTGAGATCAAACCAGTCCCTGATTCGCATCTGTCCCTGCAGAGACTACATTAAGGACCAGATAGCCTTATGCAAGGCATGTATCTAACTGCTGTACAGGCAATGAAAACGTATATATGTGTATGTCACTCATGTCACAAACTGGGCCGCACAGCCATGAAAAAAAGAGGGGGATGCACACAAACAAGCCAACAAACAAAGGTTTCATTAAAAGAAAACAAAAAACAGACAATAAATCTAGAAGAAGAACCTAAACTAACAATGGCATGTGTAATCTGTAGGATCAGCAGTGTAAGTGAGTGCATGAGTGAAGAAGTGTGTGAATGCAATGTTGTATGGTGCAGCAACAGAAACAACACAAACCAAATGCCAACCAAACCAAACAGGTGCCTCAAGGAGGAGAGAGAACCAGAACTGAGCTCCAACATGGTTTTAAAAGCACTAGCACACAGGGCCCAGGTGTGCCAAGTCTGCTGATGAGCCCAGGTACTGACAACCCTTTGCCACACCCACCTCTAGTACCTGTAAAGGAAGCAGCCGCACACAGGAAGCACCATGTACACAGGTGGAGAGGGTTGTCACACTCTGCACATACTATAAAGGTCAATTCTTGGATCAAAGTACAGCACTACCTCATGTCAACATGGCCATGTGCAGCGGGCTCAGTTGCTCACAGCAGGAAGTCGACAGGTCTGATTCTTGGCCTTTTCCACATGGAGTTTGCACATTATAGACTTCTGACATTCTTACTATACCACATGAAAGTGAATGAAGACTTGAAATAGTGTTAAAAAAACTGCTTCAGGGTGTGTTGTTGATTCGATACAGTGACTTTATTAACAGATGCATTTAACACCTGTCATGGTTGGCATATCACGATGTTATTAAAGTGTTTCCTTCAGGTAGTGTGTTTATTTGCAGCCATGTGAATGTTGGCTACTGACAACAAGGGGAGTAAATGATCCAATAAGTACAATTTCCTTATGATTGCACATTTCAGATTGTGTTTCTATTCCACTTTATCATTTATTCAATGGTATGTTTTATTCATCTAGTATGTTGTGATTTGTGCACAGATTACAATTAACTCTGGTACTGCTGGGGACTACCCTGCTCAATATGAGATGGCTTTCTCACTGAGCTGAGAAGCTGACTTTAAGTGTCCACAGTGTGCCACGTTCAACTGTACTTGCTAAATGCAAAGCCTTTAGGCACTCATTTTTTCTTCTTAGGCATTTCATTTGCCAACTAGTGGGAGTGAGCATTAGTCTGTGAAGGCCTGATTCAGACAGAAGAATTCAGCCGCTGGCTGACTGATAATGATGTGAGCTGTCCAGGGAGTTTCTCAGTTTGCTGTGAACCCGGGAAGCAGTCAGGGGCTTATAAAACAAATGAATTCCCATTTTCCAGTCATTTCCTAGAGGTGTACTTAATGAACAGTCTTGCCAGAGGAGCATGAGTGCAGGCCTGAGATGATGATGCAAAAGTGTGAATCTGAAGAGCAGGTGAGAGAACATCTTAAACGAACAGTATGGAATTTCTTCTTCCAGAAGAGCTCTGAAAGTTTTAGCCATCTTTTTAGTCTGCACCTGTGAATGCAAAATTTTACTAATGCACACAGACTTGGCTTTATAAGTTATCTTAATTGCTTCTTGACCTGGTCAAACACAATGGGTTGCATTGGAAAGGAAACTGGAAAGGAACAGGAAAATTGATTTGGAATTTAATTAATTTAATTAGCTTTAATTGATGGTTTCCCTGGAAAGAGCAAGACCCTGCCCAGCATTCTGGCTCTTTACTTCATAGCCCTGTCTCAGACACTGCAGGTCCTGGTGCTGGTTTTGCTTCCGTTTTCCCCACTGTTTCTCCCACTAATTCATTCATTCCTGTTAGGATCACTGAACGGCAGTGTGAATTAGCAACACAGACCGCACAGAAACAATCTTGTCACAGTTAAAACCACTTCTTTAATCCCTGCCACTGAATCAGCTCAATACTGCTTACTCAGTGTAAGATCTCTTTCCAATAAGTATTTTATCTGCCAGGATTTTATCACATCTAACAATATTGATTTTTTTTCCCATTTTTTTTTTTTTATCATCTCAGAGTCTTGGATTACTCCTGATGAATGTACCACTCTCATTCAGTCCTCTCCACCGGAATATTTATTTTTCCACCAGCCATGAATGACAGGCCGAGGGAGGGCCCTTCCAGTAATACACAGAAATGATTTTGGTCTTCCCTTGTCTCGTTTGGCTGTTTCTCCTCCTTTGAGAGTCGTAGCTTTATTTTAAAGAATAAACTGCCCATTTTATGTTTTTTAATTTATCTTATTCTTGGTGATTTTTAATGTTTGCTGCCCCTCTTCCTCCTCATTTACCTCAGATTTATCAAACTCTTAGATTCTTTTAATTTACCCCAATATGTGAAACAGTCAAGCCATGTGCTCAGCCACAGTTTCTGCATTTTCACCATCCTTGATCACAAAACAGATACTCTTCCAGGTTCCACTCACACCCCAAGAAATGATCCACTCCTGCCCCCTAAATTCGCTCTCTGTTCGAACTTCTGTCAGGCTTTTACTGCCCCTAACAAACCTTTTAATACCAGTGAACAAAATGGCCTCACTGTAGATGAGCTTGTTTGTGTTTTTAATAGCTATTGCACCATTCTGCAACATTTTAGATTCTGTAGCTCCAGCCAGATATAAAAAACTACAACCTTCTTTTCTGCCATGATTGAATGAAGAATTAAGAGACAATGCAGGAAGGCAGAGCAGAGATGGACAAAGGATAATCACAGTGTCTCTTTTGCCTCCCTAAAAGGTCTAATGTTCATTTATCATCCATTTCTTAAGACAGCCAAAATCCCAGAATCCTCTCTAAAACCATAAATTCTGTGATTGGTCAGCCAGTTGAATCCACCCTAGAGAGATGTGAATGAATTTCTTAATTACTTTTATAATAAATATAGTGCAGATCTGACAGCACTAACACTAACACTGAACACATAGAGCTTGATGTTGTCCCCTGCCTACCATCAACACTAAACCATTTCAGTAAAATCTCTCTGTCAACCCTAAAATGCATTGTTGCACTTTCTAAATGTTCCATCTGTTCTTCGGGTTGTATTCCCACTTGGTTTTTAAAAGCTGTATTTCAGCCAGTTGCTCCAGACATTTTAGCCATTAACTGCTCTCATCTGGTGGTATTTTTTCCTTCCCTAGCAAAGGTCACCAACAACCTACTGCTAGCAGCCGTCACAGGCTTGTACTTGATTTTGATTCTCCTTAAGCTCCGTTTAGACTTTAATACAGTGAACCATACTATCTTAAGCTGTCTGAAGAACTATGTGGGCATCAGGGATGTGGCTGTGAATTGACTACTGTCTTTTCTTGTGGAACAGGTCTTTCTCTATAACACTTGGAGATGCCTCCTCCTCTTGTGCTCCTCTATTTTACTGGGTGCCCCAAGGGTCTATTATAGGCCCATTCTTATTTACCATATAGGTACATCCTACCCCTGGGGCAAATCATGTGTGGCCATGCCATTGATTTCCATTGATATGCAGATGACACTCCATTATAAGTCCCGGTAAAGCCTGGTACTACCAATGCATTCTGTATTGTCTTGCTTCAATGAAATTTAAAATTGGATGTCCAAAAACTTCCTGCAGCTGAACGACCCCAAATCAGAGGTAATTATAGCTACACCCTGTACCCAAGCACTGGCAGCATTAATAATATCTCTTCTAATCTGGGTGCCTTATCCATTAATGTTTGGAAAGAAGCGTACACCCTAAAGGTGTTAACTCCAAATTGTCTTTTGATGCTCAGGCGAGTCCTGCTTTGCCCAACTGAAACAGCTAACCCAGAGCAGGTCATTTCTTTCCTCTGCAGTCTTAGAAAAGGTCACCAAGCTTTTATCTCTTCCAGACTCGACTATTGCATTGCATTCTATCATGGTGTCAGCATCAACATCCAAAGACTGCAGCTGATACAAAATGCTGCTGCCAGGCTGTCAACACAAACTAAGAGAAACAACCATGTCACAACAATCCTTGCTGCCCTTCAATGGCTTCCTGGGAGTTTTAGACTGAGTTTAAGATTGTTCTGCTTGTTCTTAAAGCTTTGAATGGTCTGACTCCTGTCTACATCTGTTATCTGCTAACTCCCTATGAGCCCATACTCATGGTTCCTAAATACTGACTTGTCACCACAGGTTACTGGGCCTTTTCTGTCCGGTTCCCTCAGCTGTGGAACTCCCTGCTGGCAAACAAACTCAGTGTCTTCCTTCAAATCTCTTTTATCTTAGTGCCTTTTTTAACTATTGGTACTGGTATTGGTTGTAAGTTATCTATGTCCCTATTTGCTACCCAGTTTGGAGGGGGGCCTTCCATAATTGTATAAAAAACAGAGCACGAGTCAACTATGTTGATGAATAAGCAGGATAAAACTTTATTAATCAATAAAACTTTGCTCTATGACAAAGAGATATCATTGTTCTTTTACATAAATAAATGGTGTTTACATCATCTGTAATACCACTGATATCATTACTGTACAAACAGACAAATAATAATTCTGTTACATAGTCAGCTTTACTGTCATTTCAGTTACACATTTCTATCTGTGTGTGTGTGTGTGTGTGTGTGTGTGTGTGTGTATGTGTGCGTGTATGTGTGTGGCTGCAATGCATTCGTAACCACTGAAGCTGTAAGGGTTTTTATGAGCCCATGCAAAGCCTATAGTAACAGAGTGGTTAGTATTGCTATCATAATTTTGTAAAATTAAGTAAATTGAATGGTCTGATGCCTTTTCTGGGGCAATAATGTTAATAAGTCCATTCATCAATACAAGTACAATTAAGATACACAAAAAAGAGCGGACATATGGTCTCAGTGATTTGGCACAGTTCATCAAGCTGCAGAATTTGACATGTTTCTGAGATGTTTATGAAACAATTACATGAATTGATATTTTGTGTCAGATGATGATTTGAGGTTTGAGGTTTTGTGTTTGTGCAAACAAGAAATGTATGTTCAGGGAGCATTTTTCACACATCTAAAGTTTTTTCTATTGAGATGGAGCATGAAAGTCAAAACACTTCAAAGGGCAGGGGAAATTTTTTTTTTTTTTAAGTGAATCAGATGCAAATATTACTGTGGTGATTGGGAGAGTTTACTCTTGCACTTACCCAATGATTTACAGTGAATGCAACAGCTTCAAAGACCCCCCACCACTAAGTAATATAAGGGGGCCAGGGCCACAATCACAGCACTCAGCTAAGGTTTCTGTAGCATGAATGTGCACAAGAGAAGTGGCATGAAAATAAAACAAACAGCAAAGAAGAGAGGTAGAACGGACTTTGTTGCCAAGATCAAAATAGTCTCCAGTTTATCCAAACACATTAGTTTATCATATGAGCAATAGAGCTAGTAAAACATACTGTTACTGTGACTGAGTTAGAATGGCTTTGTTCTGTGCCTTGTGTGGTGGTGTCCGCATGTAAACACTGTGCTTTGCTTGTAAAAGTCATTGTAGAGATTGTCTTCTATGCATCAGAGACAGGGGAAAACATTACAAATCAGTGTGCTGTTGGTGAGTTGAAGTGGTGTGAGCTTCACACCCTCAGTTTCTAGCTAATCCTTATTCTTCACACAATGGAACTAAAGATAATACCAATAACTTTGCACCTTGTCCAGTATATGTGAACTCAGAGTTGATAATTACAGTGCAGAGAGGATGTAGGCCCCTTCACAGTCACTGTCCAAGGCTTTGTAACTGTCTTCAGCCTGGGATAAATTTAGACTCTCTCCCCTGGATCCAGTGCACTGAATACTAATGAATTCTCTTGTCATGTGGCTTGCAACCACGAGGGGGCTCACAAGCATTATGGATTCACATTTACAGAAGGAAACCTTAGGCCTCCAACAGTTTATCTGTTTACACATAGGACAGTACCTATGAATTATTTATATCAGTTTATTTATAATTTGATTAGACTAGCTGAATTTGTATAAAATCAATGTTTGAATTGAATTAAAATTCATGAATCTAATTGAACATTTAGAGATGCTTTGGTTAGACAAAAGTATCCTCCAAGAAGACAACAATCCACACATCAATTCTCTGTTTTCTTTTTTTCATAGCTTCTAATAAGTGATATAAAGGAAAATTGTAAAGCACAGCTGAGCCTTGGACAGTGTTGTCGGATCACACCTACAGTCAATCTGAGATTTCCATTTACAGTGCAAAAACCTACAGTAAGACTTGTCATTTCATTTCACCAATAATCTACGGTAAATATATTAAGCAACATTTACAGTATATGCGCACTAGAGTAAACATTTTTTAAGTATATGCAACACTGATCATCCTGTACTTTAACTATGAGCTGTCTACTCCAAAAAAGCCTGTTATGTTGGCCTTAAAGCGCTATGACTATTTGTGACTGCTGTTACTGACGCACCCAAACAGTGTAATAAACATATTTACAGACTGTGTGGTTTCTATTTACATTCTGTTCATTGCACATAATAATGAATGATAACAATGGGAACATGCAGAACAAATGGGAATCAGCAGGTAAGCAGACACAGGAAAAAACAAATCATATGCAGTGTAAATTATATTCCCACAGACTTCTTTATCTTTGTCATTGTGCTTAGCTTCATCTTAGGTTTCATCTTTCCCATATGAACATTGCAGTCAAAATGGGGGGAAAAAGAAGAATAAAATAATAAGAGTAATTAATACCCCGACTGGATTCAATACAAAGTGCCACAGAGGAAAGGATAAATAACAGGATTATAGCAAACTTTCCTGCAGAGTTATGCAGTGCTTTTACATTTATTAATTATCTAAGCCTGAAAGCGTGATATAGCAAAACCAAAGATAAATATTGATGTGCTTTTTCCATCTTACCCTTATAAAAACTTAGCTATTGCCTGGTAAAACTTTATTTTGTCGATGTACGTTTCAAGTAAAAAAAAAGGATCAGAATGGAGTTCAGTAAATAACTGATTTGTAAACAAATCAAACAAAATTCTGTATGTACAATATATGGCAAGGAAACACACAGGATGTAAAGTCAGATACAGCAGTTATGACAAAGCAGCAAAGCAGGTTAAATACCCTGAAATCATTTACTGGTTCATTTTTAATCACCCAGTATGGGCACTGTGCTAAACTGTCAGCAACAAACACTGAAGCAGCAAGAAAAGTTTGCTAATTTGTGCTCGGACACATCACATACAGTGCAACGGACTACACAATGTAATACGAATGCAGTAGGTCAAATAACATAAGCTTTGTGCACTTAGGTTTATAGCCATTGTCTGGCAAATATTTGTCCTTAGTGTCTTTTCTGCTTGATTTTAGTTGAAGAGGTTATAGATCAAGGCCGACCTCACCGTGTTCACTGATGCTGTTCACCTTTCAGAGAAAGCAGTGTTTGCTGACTTGGCACTGCTTACATGCTCTCTGTCTGAGTCTCTTCCTCTCTGCTTTCCACTTCCTCTCTTCTTTCTTTCAGGAACAAATTAGGATGTATAGTGGCTGAAGGGAGGAGGCTGGTGATGTGTTGACTGGTTCTGCTTTGTGTTTTAGGAAAGGAAGAGCTACACAGCTATACTACATTGGTGGAGAGTTTGGCTCAACGTGGAGTTAATTTCTTTTTATATGTTTTCTACATGATTTGATCAGTTTTGATTTTGATGTTGACCGAGACAACAGCTGAACCCACAAGGACAAATCAATATACTGTAGTTTCCTGCAGGGTGACAATTGAGATATGTGAACGGTGTCATCTTAGCAGCAGCTACTGTATGTCCAGTTTGAACAAATGTAAAATGCTTGCTGGTTAAACTTGTGGTTTCATGGACAAAAAGTGAAGAAGAGCGGAAGAAGAAGAATTGAACTGAAATACTGTCGTTCCAGGAGGAGGTCTTCAATCTTGTCCTTTTCCAGCAAAGTCCCTCAGACATTGTGTGTGTGTGTGTGTGTGTGTGTGTGTGTGTGTGTGTGTGTGTGTGTGTGTGTGTGTGTGTGTGCGTTCGCATTGATGTTATTGTCTGCATGTACGAATGTGCTATATACAGTATATACATCATATCGTGTATATATGCATGTGTTTGAGAACAGGAGTGTGTAACGTCTGAATGTATGTGCAGCTAAAGTGTGTTTATGAAAGACAGAGAGAAGAGGGAAGAAGGGAAGGAGGCATCAAGGTGTGTGTGTGTGTGTGTGTGTGTGTGTGTATGTGTGAACCTGCTCGTCTGCTCAACACACACACATCTCACTCAAAGCGTTCGTAGTTCCTTGTCTGCCTCACACGGGGCACCATGTCCCTCAGGAGTCTGTGGAGACAGACAGAAAGTAAAAGTGTAAATGTGCAGAAACTAACCCGTCTCCTCAGACTGTTTTGGCACTTATCACCTCAGCTAGTACAGAGCTGTCAAGCTGACATTAGAATCTGGCAATAATTGAATGTGGATAAATCGACCAAGCAGAAATGATGAAATATTTAACATCAATAGGTTAAAGAAATATAGATTGAGGACTGCTGTTGGTTTATTTCTTACTTGATCCCATATGCCATAATGATGAGTCCAATGAGAACTCCGATGGTGCCATCCAGAAACCAGACATCAGCGTGGTGCTTGAAGACTTCAGCACTGATCAGAATGGAAAATCCCATGATAGCTCCAACCATAGAATTAAACCCTGAGAAGCACAAAATGTGGCAAATATTATATCTTCTCTTTCATAAGTGGTACAAAGAAATGCACATAGACAATAATTCTTTCACCTGGAGACAAAGTCTATTGATGACATTTTGGTAAGTAGTAGATTAGGAGATTGACACCACTCTATGTCCCAGACTGTTTCTTGGCTGGGAGTAGGGACTTTCTGGAAGTCAGCTGTCACAGCGAGGTTGCCAGGTATCCGGTTTCAGAGGTGCTAGTGGGTGGATTTTGTCACCTTTGGACAAAGCTAGGCTAACTGTTTGCCCCTGTTTGCAAACTAATAGGCTTCCTTACAAACATGAGAGTGGTATTAATACTCTCATGGAAGTCTTCGCGAGAAAAAAAAGGGTATTTTCCAAAATGTGGCAGTATTCTTTTAAACAGACCTTTTGCATGTATGTGAGAAATGTGTTTTGAGTTATATTTGGTTTAAAACATTAATGGCTGTAGACGACAAAATTGGTGACTGCACTTGAGTTACTCTGTATATACTCTATATACTCTGATGTTCTTTTATAATTACATTTCTCCTTGTGTGAAAGCTTGCACAGTGGGTTATTGTCTCGCCTGCAGTAAGTGTATAGTCTTGTGGGAAATAAATCCAGGCTCTGAGAACAGCAACCTCAGGTTTACTGGATTGATGCTCTGTGCGCTCTGAGACCCGGGGATAGCAGTGTGTGTCTGTAAATGTGTGTGTGTGTGTGTGTGTGTGTGTGCATGTTTTCATTGTCATTGAAGCCCCTTTGACCACACATCCAAAGAAGTGCTTATGCATGTGTCTATAAGCAGCTAGTGTCTCATAATCACTTTTTTCAATTCAGTTCTGCAAGCAACACACACACTGAAACACACAGACACATACTCTAATCCCAACCTGGTCTGTTTCACTTCATTTTTGATTTTATAATTGTCTACACTTCTACTCCACAACATTTCAGATGGAAATACACAGTTTTATAACTGACAGTTATACCTTCTAGTTAGAGTGAGCATTTATGACGAGCATACGAAATATTCTGTATTGGTGTACAGTAAATTAAACTACCCAACAGTATATAATAGATAAATTATTAAATTAGCTCCCTTTGGACAGGCTAAAACACTAAAATGCCTCTGAAAAGTAAATGCTTCATTAATAATTATCTAATAATTATAAAACCTGTCAGGGACCATTTTTCTACATAATGAGCACATTTACTTTTGATACATAACATACATTTGCCACTGTTCATAAAAGAGTATTAACATTACTTACTTATAAGGGTTATATTTTCCTCTATATTGAAAGGAAACCCAGATAATAAATGTTAACACAGAAAGTTTAAAGAAATGACTAATAAGTCATATAAGTCGTGTATACACATATCTGTGTGTGTGTGTGTGTGTGTGTGTGTGTGTGTGTGTGTGTGTGTGTGTGTCCTACCATCAGTGATAAGTGCCCGACTAGTCAGCACTCTTCCCAACATGAACTTGGCCACAGCCAGCACAGCACACGTGAATCCGCTCACTATGGACACACTGAAGAGGAAGTCATCCTGAAGAAAGACAGCGGGAGAGAAGACAGGAAAAACACAAGTGTTGTATTAAATAAATTACAGATGATACAAGGAGGCAAAGCAAAACACAATGCATAACAAACTAAGAGAAAGAAGGCTACAGTATGGCTGTGAAGGAAGAGACAGAATGACCCACCAATAATAAAATATACAGGCTTGACTTGGTCAGCCAAAGGTCATATAGATGATGCCTCTAAGTGCAGTGAGAGTCTGGTGTTTTCAACTTCAGTCTCAAAAAGACTCAGCAAAAACCAACACTTGACCCAGGAGTATCTCCCTATCAGATTTAATTGGCCCAACAGGGGAACAGAGACAGGAAGGAGATCAGAAGAAAGAGAGAAATTGGTATATACTGACTATAACAAAAAATTAGACTTCCATCCTGCCGACCAGCATGTAGCAGCAATGACTAGTGTGGGCCTCTGCTTATACAAATACATGTAATGTTGTCTCTCCTGGGTTGGTGTGACTACAAATATATAAGCATGATCTGCATGTTTTTTAAGTTGTCATTGTCAGAAAAAACTTCAAATATCTTGTTTTCTTTGATGAACAGTCTCTGATGAAGAAGACCAATAAATATTCACATTGGAATTGGTGATTTATTTTCCCCTTAAATATGACTGATATGATAAATGATTATTGCCAATGAATTATCTGTCAATCAACTAATCCATTAACTGACAGATTGTTTTAGCTTGTATGTTAATATGTTTTGTAATACGTTTCCTATTGGCTCATTATGTTTGGTGACCTCGTGTAATTTCAAGGAAACACATTTTTGGAGAAATGAGACGTCTTCTCCTTTGACCATCATCATCATCATTTTGTGTCTTCACTAACAGAGTAGAGTTTGACATTGGTACATTTTACATTCCTAAAGCATGATACGTTACATTGTGGGATTGTTAGCAGAAAGTGGTGTACGTGCCATGGAACTTTTGCATTACACTGTAAGAAGTTCTTATAGTCTATAGACACATTTACAAAGTCAGAATTTAGACACTAAAATAAAAGAGCATAAGGTAAATACAGTGTACTGCCCACTATGATACACACACACACGCACACGCACACACACACACACACACACATACACACACACACACACACACACACACACACATACACACACACACACACACACACACACACAGCATTAGCCCTTGATTACATGGGCAGTTTTCCCCTTTTTACTCCCATTTACCTGAATTACATAGAGACAAATGATGAAGAGCTTGTGTTGTGTTGTTGTATTTTACAGTTAGGAAACATTAGAGAACCTGATATAGTTCATAATTTGCCTTTTATTTAATGTAATTACACCCTCTCTTCTCTGATATTTAGTGTATGTACTACATGTTTCCAGTAGGCTTAAAGTCCTTTACGGGTGTTATTTGTTGAGGAAATCTCATCGAGATCTGAATGTCATCTGTGTGTTGCGGCAAACATGTAATGTGTTGCCCTCTCTTTCTCCAGCGGGCAGCGAGAGCCAATCTCAGTTCTCTGTGTTTAATCAGGCACTAGACAGAGACAGCCTGCCATGAGAGCAGCAAACCAGGACGTGACGCGAATCAGGATCCCTGATTTCCTGCGCCCTCTGTCCTCTAATTCGGATTTTACAGCCCGATACTTTTACAGTATTCACACTTTAATGCAATGTTATTCAGGATGTTAAATTCACTTGTGAACAGTGAGATCTCCTAGAAGACGAAACTAGAGAAGCAAATTTAGTCCGAAACGTCGTGTTCAGACTGCACATTCTGCTGCTCCTCTTAAACGTTCCATTTTCTTTCTCTTTTAGTAATTTCCATCTGTCTCTTTCTGTCACGCACGCTGCCCTGTAAACACATATAAACTCAGCACATACACAAATCACTGCTGATATGAAAAATCACCTCTGACTGCTGTCTGATGAAAACCTCAGTGAAGAAGTCTCTTTTATAACAAAAAAAAAAAGCCCAAGGATGGAAAGAAAGATCGTGAATGACAAAAATGAAAATCTGAGAATGACAAAGCAGTAAAGATAGACATGATAATGGAGGGAGATGGGCTGGGTGAGCGAGGTTAGAGAAAGAGCATGGGTATAGTGATGAAAGAGGGCCGAGGGAAACAATGAAAAAGATGGGATATGGAGGGAGGGGGCAGAGAGACAGAGAGTGGAAAAAAATAATGAATGAGGTTGCAAGGGAAGAAAGTAGAGAGAGAGAGAGAGAGCAGTGGAGAGAGAGAGAGAGAAAGAGGGAGAGAGAGAGAGAGACTGGATAAATGAGGCAGAGACTAAGATGAAGTGCGTCCACAAATCCAGCCAAGGCTAGCAGCCGGTGACAGTACCTTACATAAAAAGACAGAGCCAGATGGCTGAGATCTCTCTTAAACACACAGATAATCATTTACATGCAGTAGGTTATATGCTAAAAATGATCCACCATAGGATTGGACCAGGATGAGTCATCCTCTCTCACAACCTTGAGTGGAGACCAAAGAGATTCCTAAAAAGGTTTGGATTGTGTTACTACACATAAAAACATAGATATCTATTTTATTTAGAAATACAAAAGAAGCAGAGCTAGGTAAGACAGAGAGCGTTGGCAGGAAACAAGACTGGATTTAAAGAAGAAAGTGCAAAGAAGGCGAGCGAAATGCTGAGGGAGAGATAGAGAAAGACAGAGAGAGAATGTCAGGGACAGACAGTGGTAATAGGCTCTTGCTGGTGTCAGGAAGCTCCTCTGAGACCTAACACCCACATCTTCTATTAACATAATGGTGCTGGAGCATCAAACACAGTCTTGCTGCTGCCCTCAACTTGCTGATGGCCTCTGTGTCCCAGCTTTATGTCTTTGGATGTGTGGTTAAAGGGGCTTCAATGAAAATGAAAACATGCACACATGCACGCATGCACACACACACGCACACGTTTTGTCTAGTACGGATATTTATACAAACTCATATTAGATCTCTGTATATTGACCATTCCCTTGAATCTTATTAAATCCTTTTGTCTTAGGCGTATGTGTGTGTGTGTGTGTGTTTGTGTGTGTGTGCGTGTGTGTGCGTGTGCGTGCGTGCGTGTGTGTGTGTGTAGATGTGGCACAGGGTGTGAAATGCCGAGAGGTGAAATTGTTTCAACTTGAGGGAAAAATTCAACAACGTACAGCTACAAGAGGCAAAAGGAGAGAGACTATCTATACACGTCTGACTGCACAATTAAAATATGAACAAATAAGGGGATATTTTATAGCATCTATTAAAACGGTCTTGTTCAGAAACACTATATTCTGCATTCACTACTTGGGGTATCAATTTATTTGGAATTTGAATGATAGATGATTAGATGTCATGTAATTCAAAATCTACATACATCTATAAGCAAAACAGACCATTTAAAGTAGTTGATCTTGTGGTCCAGCAGAGGGCACTCTTAAAATTTACCATCAGCATGTTCTATTGACCTACCAGTAAACTAAGGTTGTAAATAAAAATGGAGGAGGAAAGTGGCAGGCTGGGCCATGCTGACTCTGAAGCATCTGAAAGCGGGCCGCGGAAGTATTTTGGGTTCTACACCTTAGTTGGCAAGATTGCCAACAAAGACAAGGCTGTTTGCCAACAGCGTAAAAAGTAGCTGTCCTACTCTACAATAACAACGAACCCGAGGACTCCACTGTGAATGAGTGGAGCAATGTCAACTGTAGAACCTCGTCACCCGGAACTTGCAAAAAGGCCATCACCAATAAGATAGCTAGATTTATATCTAAGGACACACAGACCATTAGCTTTGATTCAAGAGAAGATTTTCACAATAAGGACAGAACTGGAGCCTCAATATAAAAATAAAAGTCATATGGCACACATAATGCAGTTTAATGACACAACAGGAACATTTATAGGGGGGTTGTTGAATTTAGTTTGAATTGCTTTAACTGTGCTATTTACTGCATATATCATAATGAAATAAAAGAACATTTAAAGTAACGATATTATACATATATAATATCATTTCAAAATATCCCACTGATCAACGGTTGATGGTAATACACCAAGTAAGGTACGGAGTACACCAGAGAGGAAGAAGGAGAAGGAGGAAGAAGACTGAGAGCTGATGTAAACATTGATATAAACAATGCAGGTTTGAATATATTAGAAAACAATCCGCTTTGTAAATGGATTATGAAGAAAGGAAATTAATTCAACAAATACGTCAGGCCTCAAGTATATAGACAAAACTTTTTGGTTTGTTTACAAGGCAGCTCCATAGGGGAGCTTTTAAGATACACTCTGATTTTGTTAAAGGGCCCAATAGTGCCCCAAGTCTCAGTTTTACTCTCAGCTAATGCTGTTTTAAAATTCAAGTGTGTGAACCGTGCTGAGCTTAAAAACATGAACAGTGAAATGTGAAGATATTTTGGGGTTTGGGAGCGCTGCTGGCTATATAACAACATCAAGAAGTGCATCTTCAAGGTTTGAAACTACATAAGAGGAAACTTAAGAGAACTATGTGTTTTTGGAGTGTAAAAATCTGGCTTCCCTCTGTGCCTTGGCTTCACTGGTCAGTGAAACAGACAGATGGTGAGGGTTAAATCATTTACAAGCCTAATAGCAGGTTTCAAAGCAGAGAACTGGAAAGGATAAGATGGGCACTCCCTAAACAGTGTGTGATGATGGAGGAGCTGTAGGAAGATGAGACTATTTCGGGAACTTATTCATATTCTTAACACCTCCAGAGAGAGGTAGAGAGGTGGAAGGGTGGGGTGGGTGTCGGTGTTCTGTTGTCGTGTGAAGCCGCCCGCGAATTATTCCTGCTGGGGGGGGGGGGGGGGGGGGGTGTTGACATTAAAAAGAAAGAATGTGAGCGCGTCAGTGTCGGCGAGGAAAAAGGAACAAAAGTCAGGAGGAGGGATACAAAAACTCTGATGTCAATAGAGCGACAGCGGAGCGCTAAAAAAAGATTCCTACCTCACGATGATAAATGCTGTGTGTGTGCTCGTGTGTGCACGTGTACTGTATGTGTATGCACTGATTCAAATTAAGCTCATACGGATCTCTAGGCTCTTGTTTATATTCATCTATTATGGATGTTTGTATAAAGGTGTGTGTGTGTGGTGTGCATGCTGCCATGAGCTCAGACACACCTGCAGCCGTGCCTCACAGTCACACTGTTGTTGGGGAAATACAGTAGCTAATGAGTTGTGTCGTTTTCATATAGCACTGTGGGAAATCGTAAGACCCAAGGTTAAGTTTGAACAGCTGCATGTCATGGCATTGGTAATCCTTGAAAAGGTGAAGTTTTAACCTTGAATTATACAGCACTTAAGGAATAAATGAGAACATCGCTGAGCAGGATCAAAACTGCTAAATGTGAAACCCTTTCATAACATATAATCTGATTTCAGGTCAAACGTTTTAAAGCAACACTTTGTTACTTTTTGAGGTATGTTTTATAGGCAACTAGTTTTGGTATCATCTTCATATTCACTTTGCTGGTATGTGTGAATGGTCATGTGAAGGACAAATAAACACGTGTTTTCCCACTCGCCATCCAGGATATGCGCGATGTATTTGTGCGTTCCAGGCCAGAGCCCTCCATGTAGGAAATAAATGTAGGAAGAGCTTTCACAGCATGACATTTAATTGACAGCTATATTACCTAAAGACACCGGTTATCATGTAAAACCCCTTTTACACTAGACAAAAAACCCACTAAGACCTGCTAATATCAGGCTTTTATCACCAATGGAAAACCAATCAGCATTCATTCCCAGGTCAAATCGACGCAGGTATTTATCGGCTCCAATCGGCAGTGATCTAAACACAGCACCCGGGCGAACGTGTCAGTTTTCACCCCTTTTCAATGCTGTTATGCCATCACCTGCCCTCTCAACTACACACCTGTAAAGTTTCATAATGGTGTCTTGTTCGGTTGTGATGCTATCACGGTGACAAAAATCTGTCCACAGACAGACATGTCTGAAAACATGTCTCTGTGGTAGTTCCTCCCTAATAGATGCCTGCAGGACCACATTTTGCCATGATGGCACACACACACACATACACATACATACACACACACACACACACACCCACACACACACACACACACCCACACACACACACACACACCCACACACACACACACACACCCACACACACACACACACACCCACACACACACACACACACCCACACACACACACACACACCCACACACACACACACACACCCACACACACACACACACACGCAGACTCACAAGGTGAAACAATACCAGCCACACACTACTGTGGCTGGTAATAACCCGATGACATCATCAGGGGCATTAAAGAGCGAAGGGTGGGTCTAATGAAAGGCTCACCCTGTTCAGTTGCATTACAGGAAATGTAGGATGCAACCTTGAATGAATGAATATCTGGACACTTTACAAACCTTGGTCTCTTTCTGAAAACTAGTTTACTAAATGGGCTATTTAATATTTGCAGCAATTCATACAAGTCTTTGAATTCTGAGTAAGAACTTTGTGGATTATGTAGTGGCTGTAAAAAAGTCCCACAATAGAAAATAACAAGTGTCCTTGGCATATGCATACGTTCTACTAACCACCAACCAGTGTACTGTTAGCAATGATGCAAAATCACTGATGATTCATTCAGGGAAGGTTCAATTTGAGAGCATTGAACATATTTGTGTACTTGAGTATTTTCTAATATGAACATAAATCTTCCAGGGCGTAGACTTGATGTGTTTGAGTGTGTGCGTATGTGTGTGTGTGTTGTCTTACCACTTCTGGCGGCATCTTGGTCGCCAGATCATGGATGGCCTTTCCAAGGATGCATATGGAGGAGAGAACAAACACAATCCCAAGGACCACACATGCTCTGTAACAGACAGACAGACAGAGAGCGAGAGTGTTAGGTGTTAAGGTTGTTACGTCAAATGGAGCAGAAGCAGCAACCTACGGGGGTTAACACACGAGCAGCCACACTTTCTCCCAGTTCTTGTTTTTTTTTCTCCTGCATTTGAATCATAATCACTTTTCCTTTTTCCTGCTGCAGTGAAGACTGAAATAAATGTTCACAGAGAGTTGACATAAAGAGTGATAGTGGCAGTGGCAGTGCCTTTGGCAGTTTGGCAGACTAGAGAAATTTTTTTTTTCTCCACTTCCATATTATCATATTATAATATCTAAAATAACAGTTGCACAGTTACCCCGGCCCCATTGGTTTGAATTTTAGCCAAGGCATCAGTATAACTTGACATGTAAATCTAAGTAATGACGTCATCAGTGATATGAAAGTGGTACTGATGAATCAATTCCTTTCAATTATTTGGAGTTCATTTTGCAGGCTATAAAGAATAAACAGTTTTCCAGCCTTTGTCAGAGCATATGAGGGAGGCAATTTGTGATGTTTGTTTAAAGAATGAAGGGGATAATGATGTGAATGTTTTGGGGGGGTGGGGCAACAAGATGCTTGCACACTCCCTCGCTCTGGCAGCAATGGAAGAAGTTATGGTGATTCAATACATCTCCATCGCTGGGTCCTTTACAGTCTCTCTTCCTCTGACACATCTGATGGGCCCAAATTACAATATGTGTCTGCCATCTATCTCACCTCAGAACAGAGACACAGTATTTTGACAGGTGCGGCGGTGTGGTGTTTCTGCTTTACTGACTTTGGCAGTGCTTGGTCATAATAAAACTCCCATACTTCACAGAGAAAACGCAACTTTTAAAGAGAGAGATGCTTCACTCGAGAAATCACTTTAATTTTGGAGTTCCAGAAAGACAAAGGAAAATGTTAAAGCACACATGCATTAAAAAAAGTAACTGTGACAACAACAAGACTCCCAATTACCTGCAGACAACATAGCTAAAAATACAATGGGGGAAAACAGGGATCAATTCAGTCTCCATCCAACAACACCATCATATCTCTTCATCCATTTGCCCTAAACTTGTTAAACATGGGGGGAAATATCCCCATCTCTCTGTCTCTTCTGCATCTGCATCTGCATTGTTTTTTTCTCAGTTATTTGTCCTGCTATGTACTTTAACATTGAAGTCTCCATCGGTCATGTGTACCAACCTCAAGAAACTCATTGACTCTGCCCTCCTCTGCACCCACACCTGCACACAATGCATTGGTCAACCTTGAATGCTCTGATTTCTTTCTGTTTTCAACTAATTGGTCATGTATGGGTGAAACATAGCCTCAATCCTAGTGTACATGTATGTGATTCATTTCTATGGCTATGTGTGTGTGTGTGTGTGTGTGTGTGTGTGTGTGTGTGTGTGTGTGTGTGTGTGTGTGTGTACACCTGTGCTGTGCTGAAAACCCTTGATGTTTAGAGGATACCATGTGGTCACACAAGGTTTGTTGCACAGCCTCAGTCATCAGTGGGATCTTGTGATTAAGCAAAATAAATTATGAATGCTGAAACAGACATACACAGGAACACACATGTAGGTTGTCTAACATACCGTAGTCTTAGCTGATGTAGCTAACAGCATGAATTTCACACTGAGGATTTCTCCTCTCTGAAAGTGGAAATGTCTTTGAGCTGTGTTTTTCCTCATGGGTAGAACTTGTTTAGAGAAACTGAGGATAAAAATAATGGTTCTGTCTTTTGATTCCTCTGTGTGTGTAGCAACCTAGCAGCAAAGTGTAGAAAAGGCAGATTAGTGTGTGCTATTTTTTTTCCCTTGTAGATACAGTACAGGTGAGTGTTTGAGAGTGTGTATGTGTGGGTCGGTGTGTGTTAATGGATGGTGGAGTGGCAGCTCGGTCTTTCATCATCTGCGACACCTCAGAGCCAAGCAGAGGTGCTGTTTTAAGATGAACAAGGCTCCGTGCAAACTGACAGCCACTTGATGAACTCAGCTGAGCTACAGCAGCCCTGAAAGCTGACGGATTAACAGGCTTGTGTTTAGCGGTGATGTACAGTGACGGACAATCCAGCACTTTGTTCAATTAGGGATGTACCTCTAAACCTCAAATGAACAAATCAGGCTTCAATCAATCTTTTTCGTTTCTGTATTTTTTTCTGAGCTGTACAGTTTTCTGGGAACATTTCACATAAAAGCCTAAAAAAGAAAGAATGCAGACATGGCTTTGAATCCTCAAACCCCCAAACCCATTAGCTGCATGTTTTGAGTCATTCATAAATCCAGCATGCTCTTGAGATTCATACCGTGCAATGATGTGTTAGTCCGCACTCTTCACCAGCATCATCAAAACACCACTTTCAGAAGCATGGCGTTCCACCCCTCCAGCAGAGGTCAGAGACATGGGAACATTCAAGCTGTTCTGTGGGCTCACAGTGGCCCAACACCTACAGAATATATGTCGGTTTTTCCTTTTATCATCTATGTGTTTGTCTCTACTTCTTCAGGTAGCATCTGGGGCTTCAGGATAACAACACCGGAGAAAGATCTCCACACTCCCCTGTTTCCATTCATCCTCCCTCCTACTGTACATCTCTTTATCTTCAACAACTACAGTCGATGCTACATTCACATCATTAACATTTTAATCAGCTTTTGTTGCGTCATAGTCTTTGCCAGTGAAATCAATCATGAGAAATATTGACAGTAATACAATCACACATGGAAACAATCTTTTAACAGCATCAGAAAACATAGAAAACTGTGTTCGGTTGTTGAATTTGCATCTTAAATCGGGATGATGGGGATTGATAAATAAAAGAAACAAGAAAGGAGAGATAAATATAGATAGATGGGTGAATAGATGGATACATGTACATACATTGTAGCTCTTGCCTTGGTGCAGATTTATCGTTAATTAAATTAGCACTGTGTTCTGTACTCACATATACTCTCTGTGCGCAGAGTGCACTGCTGCTGCATTGCTGTAGCGCCAGAGGACAATGACTGATGATAGGACGTCCAGCGTGGCATCAAACTACAGCAGAAAGAGAAACCATTTAATCAAGGAGAGAGACAAAGAGAGAAAGCTGCAGCAGTGGAATAATACATTGTTTGGTCTTAAGAAAGATTCAAATAGCAGCTGAATTAGTTCACACCTGATTATAATATCAACAGCTGAAAACTCCATAAGATGGCAATACTCATCCAGTCTCACCAAAGTCAAGGTACAAATTCACATACTTTCCCACAGCATTACCACAATGTTCATATTCGTTGCAGTCACTTTAGGTTTCATAAAACACCATCAGTTTCTTGGGTTTAGAATTTAGTTTATTGTTACATTTGGATGCCACTGCACTCTAAATGAGGTGCACACATTTGGTTTGTTCTGTCATTACGAGTTTGGACAAGCTGAATTAATTGATTTCTCTTTGTGTTTGAGTTACTGTGTCTGCTGTGTCAGTCCTCCTGGTTTGGCCAAAAGAGGTAGCTGAGGTTGGAGCCTGCTTAAATACAGAGGCCCAAGAAATGGACCAGACCAAGAGCTGTAACAGCATAGGGGGGAATGTTGTTTCTTTGTATCGAGTATTTAGCAAGTTTGTATTGTTTTCCCCTTTCTGTTACTAATAGGCTGATCAGCCAGTATATACAGTTCTTATCTCTCCTGTCTCTTTTAAGGTCAACCTAATAAGGTCACCAAATTTACTTATTTTCATTCATTTGTATTTTTGACATGTTTTGTGTGCTTGCTTGTCCTTGTATAGGACAACATCTTGCCTGTGGTGTTTGAAATAAAATTACTTCATATATTTTAGCAGTACTGTGAAAATCCTCTTAAAAAAAGAATAATGTAACTTAAAAAGTGCACTTAATAATATATTTACTTGAATAGAGTGGAATAAAAATAGACACAGATCTTTTGGGCACATATTCAGTTATCATTTAAGATGTCTCAGTGGTTTTAAAGCACCAGTTAGCTTGCTATAGAGTGAAATATATACGAAATATATACATGTATAAGTGCTTTACATTGTACTGCATAACCAAGAGACTGGTGTTGACTGCCAGAGGGAAATCAAGGTGATAAGCATTATTACAAACATAATATATGACTATATATGACTTTGTGCTTCATTTTTCAATTAACCTTTCAAAAGGAAGATGAAAGAAGATCTTGTCTGCCCTGAAGCTGGATCATAAAATATGGCATGATTGTTATCATTTCATTTTCAAGACACATAATGTACCTGTAAAAAATGTCAACTTTCAACATCGTAGCAGCTAAAGCTACCAAAGATCAGTTGCTGTGATCTAACCCCTTTGCATTGTCTTCTTACCGCTTTATTAAAACTGCCATTGACAGCCAAGCACTTGCTAATTAAAATCGAATCTTTAATAAGGAGATAGCTAGCACTGAAGATAATGGTTTATAATATTTCTATCACATTATGCTAATCACATTTCCCCTCAGTGGCCTAGATGATTTCATTCTTATTAAGGCTTATTTTTTTTTTAAACAAACCAGACTCTCAGTCATTTCCTCTAAATAATTACAAGCAATAAGAAGCTTCATTTTGGTAAAAGCCTGCAGATCTGTTTAGCAAACACAGATAGCATTTTGACACTCAACGTGTGCTCCTCTCTGCCCTGTTACCTTGGAGACAAAGGGACCACAGGCACTTTGGAAACAGCATTCATTAATAAATCACTGAGACCTAAGTTATGACTAATTAATCAATGGAAATGGAGGGAAGAAGGAAAGTGGAACTCACAGCAAATCCAAAGGCTGACGCGCTGTGTCTCATGAATGATACAGCTGTGGAGAGAGAGAGGGGGAGAGAGAGAGGGAGAGAGAGAGAACGAGAGAGAGAGCAGTGACGTCAGTGATTTCTATAACATTAGTTGACAACAAGATACTCTTCGTTTTGATGCTACGTTACAATTATATTTTCATATGCTTATCTGCACATGTGAGTCATCATGTATAATAAACCTGCTGCATCCGTATCATATGCTCACAATGCAGAATGAAGAATAATTACACGATGACTCGTTACAGGATAATGGGGTGTTTCACTTTGAGTTCGTTATTGTTATTGAATGTGACGACAAAGTGATAAGTGAAATACCACTCTGATGGACCAAATGACAACATGAAATATATACAGAGGAAATCAAGAGAAATAGTGTCTAGATTTTGAAGTGTAAAACTGTTGAATGTGTATTTTTTTAACAGATGAAAATAGCAACATCTGCTTTTTCTGTGGTGGATGATTCATACCAGGAGCTCACAGTATGTAACAACACATGCTTAGAAAGTAGTGCAAAGTACTGTGTGCAGGTGAAATACTATAGGAAACTCTTCCCCTTCATTCATCAGTGTTCAAATATCTAAATTATTATTTATAGGCCAAAATTCCTTTTTTTTGCATGCAGTCCTTTAAATCTGATGCTTTTGGGAAAGAGGAGGCCACAAAACAACCCATAAACAAACCACTGACATGTAATCATCTTAAGTTGATATGGCTAATGTGTTAGCATTCATTTGAAGTTGTGCCTCTGGCCACCCGATGAATGAAAGTCCAATATTCACTCACGTTTTAGCTCTAATCTTGTCTCCGCCAACTAATGAGGAAAATATCTGGCTCTTTAGCTGCGACATGCTCCACTATGTTCACCTGCTGTCTGCTGTTTGGCGCTGGGCTATTGACTTTATCAGAGTTCTTTTCTAGTGGAAAACAGCTGCCTACTGTGTCTGTGAACAAGGCTGATGACAGTGGTGAACCAAAACACTAAAGCTGTGGGCAGTAAAACCAAAACAATGAGCTAAAGGTTGCAAGTTGGGTTATAGGAGCGACACCTTGCACATGACATTTTGATCCATTGTTTATATGAAAATATGGATCCGTGCTGCTTTAAATTCTGCATATGTTTGTGTTTTAGACGCTGCTATCAATAAACATTGTCACACAGTACACGTGTGTCAGTCTGGGTCATATTCCAGACAGGATGTCTCAGCTCCGTTCATAACTTGATCTAAAGCCCTGACATTTAGTAACATAAACATGGCATTTTCTGAAAGTCTGGTGTTTAGTAACAACCTTCTGAAGGCTCCAGAGATCCTGGATGAATGCAGGTCTCATTAATGGGGTAGAGGGGATTGTACATTGGTTTGCAGAGCCCAGTCTAGCCTACCTAGGCTATTTTGCCCCTCTGCCTGTCCTTGTGCTTCTCCCTTTCTCTCCTTTTTGTTTTCAGGACAGGGTCTCAGGGGACACCATATCGTCAGTTAAATCACCATGGTAACAGGAGATTTGAGGGCAAGCTGGGAGTTGGTTTGAAGTCAACAGAGCTTTCATCCTTTTCCTCTCACTCGTGCTTTGTCTTTGTCATCTTCCCAATCTTTTCTCCTGGCGTCCCTTTTTCTTTCACACTCTCAGATTCTGATTTCATTCGACACGTCTCTTTCTTTCTTTCTTTCTTTCTTTCTTTCTTTCTTGCCACATCTCTGAGAGGTGGCCGTTTTGGCTGCTTTGTCTTTTATTGATTGAAGCTTCACTTGACTGTGTGACAGCGCCAGAAACTGTGTGACGCTGCATTTTGCCAACCACTGATAAATACTTAAACGTAAGTTACATATATCATCATTTCTTTTAATGCTTGCAGCATCACTTCCACCTGAACTACAGTTATATAGTTAGTTATATCAATAGGGAAGCATGGTGGGCAGTAGAAAGAGGGGAAAAAAAGAGAAAATGGAGAGGAGGTGAAAAGAGAGGGCAGTCCCAGATAGACCCCCTGATACAAGACAGCTGGTGCTAGTCAGGCTGGCCGTGTAACACATGACTGCCCACACGCACTCGCACACACACATATGGTGTGTGTGTGTGTGTGTGTGTGTGTCTCGCTCTGTCCTGGAGACCGTCACCCACAGTCTCCCTCTTTTTCTTATTCACACATCCTCTTTCTCGATTGTCTTCTCTCTCACGTACAAACTCTCTCACAGTCTTTTTGCGCACAGGGAGTTTGTGCTGAAATCTCTGGAGCCTCTGACCCATCTGCACGGTCCAGAAACTGAGCCAAACAGAGAGTGTGCCGGCTTTCGCATGGATTCAAGAACCAAATACAGAAAAATCAGATAGGGGGCGACTTCTCACTCTTCTGTACCATTGTCATGATGCTTTAGCATATTTTCTTTTTTCAGTTTGAGCAATGAGTAAGCAGCTTGCTAGCTTATCTGATATGCAAACATTTAATAATGAGCAATCTGGTGACACATAGTTTTGTTTTTGTGTGGAATAAATTAAGACTGAAAACACATGCCAACAAACATCCTGTTAACAGTTATAGGTCAATACCACGAAATCTCTGTGAGACTATAGACAGTCTGCACTTTTTGCTGTTGTTCTTCGTTGTGTCTTGGTTCCTGACAAAAAAAAAACTCCACAACAAAACCAAAAGCCAGTGCTTGTCTTCATAAGAGGTTTGGTAAAAACTGAATAAAGCTCAGTTTTGAGGTGAACTGTCTGAGTCTGAACAGTCAAGATCTCCTGTTTCTATATAGTTTTTTTTATATGATGTGAGATACATCACATATACATATCCCATGGAGAACACATAGTCAGATATGAAGTGTTACATTAAATAATGTGGAGGAATAATATGATTGAAAAAGCATCATTTTTAAAGATATAAATTATGATTTGCGATCTATTAAGAGAAAACGCTTTGTGTGAGTTGTGAAAATAAATTCACTTTAATGTCATTAGACTGTTACAGAAAAACCCTGAAAAAGTGTCACGTATGAACACAAAAATATTCTGCCGTGTTTCAGCTGCTTCGAGAGATTTCTGTCTCTGCTGTTCAGCCTGTGATCTGCAGGCTTCAGTTGGAAGAAGATGATGTGAATGACCTTTTTGAGTGTCAAACTTTTAAAAAGTAAAACCTAAATGTGTTTTTTTAAAGAACATTAGCTTTGACTGTTGCGTATAGTCTTAAGTATTTCATGTTTATAAGAAATGCATTACATTTGAAACCATCTTTCAGTTCCAGTCTAGCAAAATTCATCTGGTTTTGTAAAGGGAGATAATCTGGGATCATGTGTGTTTTGCTGGGTTGATGTGGAATTTAAAGCCAATCACTATATTAATACAGAGTCAAGTATCAAGGGAGAATATTACTCATAATCCAACTAATACCGTAATAGAAAAATAATCTGGATTTTTGTTATTCTGATTTGAGCTAATCACATTTGGTTAATCTGCAGCTGAGTGCGCTTTCTATAATGTGTCTCACATCCAGCGACTTTTTACTTCATGATCAGACTTGTTGGTGTGTGCACGCAACACTGGCCTCTCACTGAAAAACACAGACACAGCCCAATGCGCAACTCTCATCCCGTGCCCTCGACTTGTTTGCAGGTCATTTGGTGTAAAAAAAAAAAAAAAAAGAGTCCGTGACAGGTCAGCCCTGTGTGGAGAAATCCACGTTGAGCACAGGTTGTGTTTTTAATGAGGGCATACAGTATTCTGACTTTCATCATAACTGTAGAAAGTGCATGCAGCATCATCTGGGTCTACTGAGTGCACATTTAACATGCAGTGGACCCATTCACACAGTATGACACAGCAGTTACATGACAGTCTCCGGCTGTCTTGGATCAGGATCAGGGGCAAACAAACCAGACCGGGACATCTTCTATTCGGATTCAGGTTTCAATCAATACATACAGAGCGACTGGCGTAGCGGCCCCCTGGACAGATGATGTGCATTGACCCATTTAGAAAAAGACCAAACAGACAACTCATACATGTAAACAGATGGTGTTAGGGTGTTTGCGTGCATGATTATATGTGCACTTATAAACAAGTATATGCATGGTGTCATATATAAAAGTTGTAGTGACAAGTGTTTTGGCCCTTAGAGTCTCACTACTTGGCCACCCGTTCTCTAGGGATCTGCCCTGGACAACCATCATCCCAACCTACTGGGTAGTGTTTAATGCTCAGTGCTTTACTCAGGGGAACCCTTGTCCAGGATTTCCCAGTTCTTAGAGGAGTCAAGCCGGTGCTGTCTGGAAAATGACGACATAATCTTTGGCGGAAAAGTAAGATGAAAGGTCTTTCTTCCTCTCTTTTCTTTTGTTCTTCAAGCCCATAGGTACTCTGTGTTATCTTCACTGCGATTTCACGCTGTTGGGTGTACATCCAGTGATGTGGTAGGCTGTGACCTGCGATAATTGGCTCATGGATGCAAAAGCCTCTATGTGTGACTGTCTACATTCCAAGAGACCCTCTGATAAAAGAGTTCAGAGCTGGAACCTGCTGGCTGAGAAGCACTGACCCATAAACAGTCATGTGTTTAGCCTAGTTTTGTCGGTTTCATCTGTTATACTGTGCTAAAGAGCACATACGATTCAGGGTATTGGCTAAATAGCAAATAGGGCTAAATAGAGTGATTATGTAACATAAAGTGTAGTTATATATATATATATAATAATTAATAACATATAATAAGATTAATATAAAGAGGAAAAATAAAATAATTTTTGTTTTTTTTAGTTTTAGGTGTATATTTATGTAAGACATTTGTTGTTCAAATGTGACCGATTTAAATCTTGTGACTACATTGTGTCAGTGATCAGGGAAAACCATGTCATCGTCTTGCAACTTCAAGGCCACATGCAACATTTTCTCCTAATGCTGTGGATAATGTATAGTGTATCACATTACCGCACAGACTCCACATTACTAAGAAATGACTTGTGGTGATTAGTTGTCGGGTTTTGTGGCAGCTCATAGACTGAAACTACTGCCT